GGGGGGGGGGGGGGGGGGGGGGGGGGGGGGGGGGGGGGGGGGGGGGGGGGGGTCGGTCGGTCGCCCGGGGGGGTTGTAAAATAGTAGTCCGCCCGAAACCGGTTCGGGTTTGCACACGTGGTAAAGAAGGGTGGAAGCGGTTGACAACAAGACGAGAAGGGCAACGACTCCTCGTGGGGGAAACGCTGTGTGCTTGTTTATCGCCCATTGCGCCGCGCCGGAGCGACGAAGCAGGCACGCTCTAGCAGCTATTGTAGCTGGCCCTCGTACACTCGTAATACAGCTGCTGCTGCTGGTGGCGATGTACGTGTTGTCGACGCGATTGCCAAGAGAAAAAGGCGCCCGCCCACGCGCGCGCGCGCGCGCGAGAACATTTTTGTGCTTCAAAAGCAACGGACCAACGCCGGTTGCCCATACGCAATGTGCACAAGTTTCTGGTCGCACGAACGTTTTCTCGAGGCACAAGCGGGCATCCACTCGAGAGAAGCAAAAAACAAAAATATACACCCATTGCAACAAAATCGAGCCCCCCCAAAAGAAGGGATACCAAAGCACCAAGACCCCCCGCTGGTCTCTAGACCTAGACCGGCTATTCTCGTGTGAAGGTGCTCGCGCCTCCCGCCTCGCTACTTTGGCGCCGCGCCGGCCACTGCGTGTCCGAACAGAGCCAAAGCCTCCCACGAAAGCTTCCTCCTTACCTGGGACATGGGCACAAGTTTTCTCAGGACGGTCTTGACGCTGCCCCCTCCCTGCAGCTGCGGCACTTTCAACGACACCATGAACGCCTGCACCAGCATCAGTTCTTCCAAGAGGTAGGGTATGGCCGTTGTTGCCATCACCAGAAGCCGGTTTCCTTGTGGTGGGGGCTGCGCGGAGGACACCAAAGGCGGGGGAAAGCAGGGTGAGGGGGGGGCGACGTGGCATGTGGACACGCCGATGGAGGGAGGGAGGGGGGACGGGAAGGAGAAGCCCGCCCACACGGTGCAAAACATCTCATAGAATAGATGTTCACAGGCGACAACGTGCATGAGGCAACCAAACACGATCCTCCGTGATAAAAACGGTTTCTAGCCTGTTGGCGAGTTACGGTGGCTCGTGACAGCAACGCGTGCCGTCTTCCTCCGATAGGTATCGCCTACCTGTAGCTATAGCTGCAAAGACGGGCACCCAACCCCCCCCCCCCC